CTAAATGTGTTTTTATTTTAGCGTAATTAGTTCCATCTCTTCCTTTACACCAGTGGTTCTCAACCTCGGCTGCACATGAGCCCTTTAAATACAGTGTTGTGGGGACCCCCAACCATAAGGTTATTACGTCATCACTGTCATGTTGCTAGATTTCTGGGCCTCATCCTCCGGAAATTCTGTGTCTTTGTTACTCATGTTGTGGCCCCGCCCCATCACCAAGAAACAGAATCTCCGGAGGAGGAGGCCCAGAAATCAGGATTTTAAAAGGATTCCCAGGGGGTTCTCACGTGCAGCCACAGGTTGAGAACCGCTGCTTTCAGTGTCTCCCTTTGTTGACATATGTAGGGCAGCCTTTCCTATGTCAGCTTTATATGACGACTAATCGATACTTTTCACGATATTTTATCGTTTCAGCATTTTTACAAATTCTGTAATGGTTGCCTTTGACCACCCAAGAAACATTAAAATATATGTTTTTTTTTCTTTTTTAATATATTTTTATTGATTTCAGAGAGGAAGGGCGAGGAAGAGAGAGAGATAGAAACATCGATGATGAGAGAGAATCATGGACCAGCTGCCTCCTGCACGCCCCCCACTGGGGATGGAGCCCACAACCCGGGCCTGTGCCCTGACCGGGAATCAAACCCTGACCTCCTGGCTCCTAGGATGACACTCAACCACTGAGCCACACCGGCCGGGCCATTTCAGCATTTTTAATATAAAGTCCCGATAGATCTGGAATTCGTTGTGGTGTGTTTTGTGAAGGCGTTATCTATGATTTCTTTTAAAAACTATTCATCATAGTCGCTAGGGGCCCCACCGTTCATCCTCACACTCTGGTCAGTGTGTAGACTTCCGTTTTATTATATATATATATTTTTTTTATTAAATATATTTTATTGATTTTTCACAGAGAGGAAGGGAGAGGGATAGAGAGTTAGAAACACCGATGAGAGAGAAACATCGATCAGCTGCCTCCTGCACACCTTCTACTGGGGATGTGCCTGCAACCCAGGTCCATGCCCTCGGCCAGAATCAAACCCGGGACCCTCCAGTCCGCAGGCCGACGCTCTATCCACTGAGCCACACCAGTTTCGGCCGTTTTATTATATTTTTAAATTTAATCCATCTTTCTGCGATCGCGAGGCCAGCTCTATACTCTTTTGAGGCGATTTCCCTCTCGTTTCCACTCTTTTATGGCATTTTTTCTCCTTGGCTCCTGTTGGCATTCACTCCACCAGACGCACTTCAGAATCGTTCTCTTCGGTTCCAAAAAAAATCCCTTTGGGATTGCGACGGGCGTTGCTGGGAACATGTAGATTAATGTGGAGAGAATTAACGTTTTACAGTATCGGTCCCACCCACTCGGCTACGGCACGCGTCTCCAATGATGTCAGTCTGGCTTACGTCGCTTAATAACATTTTGTAACTTTGAGTGACAGGCGTCACGTTTTTACATATCGATATCTGTAGCCACATCTACATCTATATTTTATTTATTTTAAAAAATATTTCTATTGATTTCAGAGAGGAAGGGAGAGAGATAGAAACATCAACAATGAGAGGGAATCATGGATCAGCTGCCTCCTGCACGTTGGACTGAGCCCACACCCCCGGCCTGTGCCCTTAACCAGAATCGAACCTGGGACCCTTGAGTCCGCAAGCCGGCGCTCTATCCACTGAGCCACACCGGCCAGGGCTACATATATATTTTAAAATATTTTTATTGATTTCAGAGAGGAAGTGAGAGGGAGAGAGAGAGAAGCATCCATGATGAGAGAGAATCCTGGACTGGCTGCCTCCTGCACGCCCCCCACTGGGGACCGAGCCCGCAACCCGGGCCTGTGCCCTGACCGGGAATCAAACCCTGACCTCCTGGTTCATAGGTCGACGCTCAGCCACTGAGCCACGCCGGCCGGGCTGTCTATATTTGTTTAACGTGGATATATCTTTATCTGTTCCCTGGGGCACCCTGACACACGTCAATGACAGGGAGGCCAGGAAGCCAATGAAACGGAACGCTTTTCATAAGCGACCGTGCTTATTGCCTTCGACTCGAACGCTTTATCGACTTGGTTTTATCGCCCTCGTTTGCTTGGGATGGAGCCTGTCTCAGGAGGTCCCACGGGTCCTCACGGAAGAAGTTCCCTTGGAGCCAGCACCAGCGTGGTGGGCGGGCGCGTCCGAATTCCAGAGGCCAGTGGTTCTCAACCTTCTGGCCCTTTAAATACAGCTCCTCAGGTTGGGACCCAACCATAACATTATTTCCGTGGCTAGTTCATCGTTGTCATGTGGCTGCTGTGATGAATAGTCATGTAAATATCTGATCTGCAGGATGGTCTCAGGCGACCCCTGTGAAAGGGTCATTCGGCTGCCAAAGGGGTTGCGACCCACAGGTTGAGAACCGCTGCCTTAGGCACAAGCTGGGACCCTGATGAGCAAGTTATAAATCATAATAATAACATCAATAATAATCCTATATAATAAAAGCCCAATATGCTAAGTGTCCGACCATTCGTTCGACCAGTCGCTATGATGCGCACTGACCACCGGGGGGCAGACACTCTGACCTGGTGAGATGGGCCGGGCACACACTGGAGCCCTCCCGCGGACTCTGCCCGCCCTGATATGCACCAGTGGGGTCCCTCAGCCTGGCCGGCGCCCTCTCGCAATCCGGGACCCCTTGGGGTATGTCCGCAGGCCAGACTGAGGGATCCCACCGGTGCACGAATCCATGCACGGGGCCTCTAGTAATAAATACTACTGTTCCGTAGCCAGTTTATTTACATTTTGGGATGATGAAATGTCAGATTGAAAGGTGAGTTTAGGGCCCTGACTGGTGTAGCTCAGTGGATAGAGCGTCGGCCTGCGGACTGAAGGGTCCCGGGTTCGATTCCGGTCAAGGGCATGTACCTTGGTTTCGGGCACATCCCCAGTGGAGGGTGTGCAGGAGGCAGCTGATCGATGTTTCTCTCTTATCGATGTTTCCGACTCTCTGTCCCTCTCTCTTCCTCTCTGTAAAAAATCAATAAAATATATTTTTTTAAAAAAAGGAAAAGTGAATTTAGGCCCGGCCGGCGTGGCTCAGGGGCTGAGCATCGACCTATGAACCAGGAGGTCAGGGTTCGATTCCCGGTCAGGACACAGGCCCAGATTACGGTCCCCATCCCCAGCGTGGGGCGTGCAGGAGGCGGCCGATCCACGATTCTCTCTCATCATGGATGTTTCTCTCTCTCTCTCTTCCTCTCAGAAATCAATAAAAATGTGTATAAATAAATAAAAAGTGCGTTTACCAGCATCAAGACGAGACCCTGGCCGAGACTGGTGTGGCTCAGTGGATAGAGCGTCAGCCTGTGGACTGAAGGGTCCCGGGTTCGATTCTGCGCAAGGGCATGGACCTGGGTTGCGGGCACATCCCCAGTGGGCGGTGTGCAGGAGGCAGCTGATCGATGTTTCTCTCTCATCGATGTTTCTAACTCTCTATCCCTCTCCCTTCCTCTCTGTGAAAAATCAATAAAATATATTTAAAAAAAAAAAAAGAGGAGACCCTGGTATGTGCAAATTTTCCCTGGAGCGCCAGCATGTCAAACTCAAAGGCTAACTCGGGCCCAGTGAACGCAGCCTGCGGCCCGCGGGCCGCGAGTTTGACACGCTTGATGGGGAGGCTGTTGGACGGTCTCTGTTATTAACGCCGCTGTGGCCGCTGCGACCACGTTGGCTACGGACTCCGGGGCAGCGAGGGAGGGCCGTGGGGACGTGTCCACGCGCGGGTCCGGGATTCATCTCCTGTTTCCTGGTCTAGACCCC